ACAAGGCACTCTAGTGCCAACAACAAAAAGCAAGAATTTGATGATTGGAAATAAAGATAAAGAGAAAAAAAGAAAAAGTCAAATCAATGGGAAAGAATCAACGAGAAAGAAATCAATGGGAAAGAAATGCAAAACTGCAAATCAAGATAACAAAGTTAGTAACCTGCAAGTTCTTTACTTAACTAATTTTCTTCTCCAAAGTATTTGTCAATCATCATGTGTGAATTTGTTTTCAGTTACATTTTTTATTCTAGACCTCAAACTTGAGTTAAACATGCAGATAGTGCTTAAATTAAATGAACATGCCAATGTCAACATTCTTTGATTCTACGTTTGGAAGAAAAAAACTTATAATTGGCTTGAAAATACAGCTTAATGAGGGAAATCAGGCCTTCAACTTTATAAACTTTGTATATTCTTACTTAAGTATAGAACCTTACGCCTGATGCCAAAATTGTACCTGCCAGGGTAAAAGGTTAAGTTGATTTTATTAGGTTCGCCTTAAGTTTAACCATTATGTGAACAGACAAGCTAAAAGAACAAATACAAATTGCTGCAAAAATTGTTGAGACAAATCTGTTTAAATGTACAACAATTTTTTTAAAAAATGAAGTCTGTCCCTTTTGCTTTGTAGCTGCAACAGGAATTTCAATCTCAACGAGTGAATGCCATCCTTGCTAAAAGATCCCTCCCACTGGGCCAGTTGCCAAAGGAAGTCAGTGAAGTGATAAGGGATGAAGAAGAGGAGAATATACCTCCAAGCTTCAATCCTCAACAGGACCAAACTCCCTCCCAAAGTGTGCTTGGAAACCCTGGGAACACACAACAGACACAACAATACTCACCACACTCACAGCATTCCAAATCAATGCATACACCAATTCAACCAAGGACCAATTCTATTCTACCTCCAGTCACCGTGCTGCCCTCCACAACAACAGAACTACAGTCACATGCACACAGTTCAATGCCCAGATTGCTCACACCACTCAGAGCAACAAGCACTCCGACAAACAACCACATACAACTTCCACCATCACAGAGGCCTTCATCATCCTACATGTCAATGCTGGAGGATGACGGTTCACCATATGACACTTTTGGCATTACCCCTTTGAAAAGTCAGGAAATCCATGTGGGTGGTGGGCATGGAAATGACTGGGATAGCGAGTCCTTTGCCTCCCACTTCACACAGGAATTTGAAAGTTTGAAGGCAGAGGTTGACACCCTTCGCACGGAAGTGAAGTTCCTTCGAAAAATAGTCAGGGAAATTAGGTATTTAAATAACCTAAGGATACTTGTGAGCAAAAATATTCTGCTGTAGTTTTGTTACAACCAATTTTTTAAAACACAAACACTCTCGTGTTACCATCCTTGTTCCAAAGGATTTTTAGCTATTGAAAGACAGCACTGTTTCCAGAAGTTATGATCTTGGGTCAAATGCTACACTGGACCAATTCCTTTCACGCTAGTAAAATGGAGATATCTTACCATTGGGCAGAATCGTGTAGTATTGATTTTGAGCATCTGATCACTTCAGCAATATTCTCTACACTTGATATTATTTTTCTACATAAATTAAGCCTCACAGAGAGATACTTTAAGTCCTGCACACTTTAAATAAGTTTATAATACATTATGTTCAAGTACTGCCTGTTTCATTCTAGCGATAGAAAAGTTAATGCTGAATGTAAAACATGAATAGCACTGGCTTGGCCCAAGGCATTTAATAAGTCGCTTTGAACTTTCAGCTGAAATCACAGCCCCAAATGTGATATTTTTTTAAACTCTGTCTTGACCCTTTAACCCCGTAGGGGGTCTCCCTTTGACGAATAAAATTGTCTGGCGTTAGACAGAGTAAAATCATCTGGCATTAGAATAAAATCCGCAAGTCACTCTTAGGGAGTAAAGTGTTAATGTTTAGACAAAATTTAATTGTCCTTTCTGATGTGTTGTGTAGGCAAACAAGGTGTCAGATGAAAGTGAAAGAAATGAGGGAGGCACACTGGTAAGTAAAATGCAATGTTTTGAGAATGGGTCAGAATGAAATATGTTACAATGTGTGCGCAGCAAAATTTAACTTCAGTGCTGTAAACTTTTTACTGAATTTGAAAATTCAGTGGTTAATTTTTGGGTACTTTTTCTTCACAGGGTACCTTACTTAAGATGGTTGAAAATACAAGTTGATCTTTTGATGGCCTGAAAATCATACTGTTCCACCTCTTTAATGAGGAAGAACTCAGGACCTCTTCCCTGAAGGGTGTGACCACTGTTGCTGGTGGGGCTAACCCAGGAATAAACAAGGAGAAGCTAAATTTACTGTACAGTAAGTAAGAGACCTTCTGTAGTCAAACAAACGCTATTGAAAAAGTAACAAAAATCAGTGGCAAGTAGAAAAAAATTGACTGGCATGAATTTGACATTGCTATCATTGTTGATAATCCTGTGTTTTGAGTGATTTTCCGTATAATCATTAATCCCATTAAAATTGTTCCAAAGTTTGTCATAGCAGGTAATTAACCAAATATCATGCAAGTGTTTGGGTTCTAGATAAGCTTTCATTAGGAAGGGTGCCATTGAGGAATTCTAATAGTCAATTTCCACTGCTCCCACCAAATCATTATAAATTTACTATTAATTTGTTGGGTCATGTAGGTGGCATTTTTAGGGTTTTGACCACAGATTCCCCACTTCTATCTGGTACACTGAGTATGAATGCCAATAAGAGTCCATACTTTCATTGGAAGATAGATGTATTGTTTTTGTTTTCCTTGTTACTTAGACAACTCTGTTACTTGTAACTTGTACATGTATGACTGGAATGTAGTGAAAAGATAAACCTGAATGATTTTGCTTTGAATAAACCTGTCAGGATCAATCAAGTACATGTACAAGTAGGCATGGTCAAACTTGAAAAACTATTGCCAACTTTCGGGAGGAATTTGGAAAGGTTCAAAGAGAATTATCCTTTTGTCATAAATGATACTGCATGATTAGTCAGTGGCCAAACAGGAGTTTGGATTTCAGCTGTCATTCATGATCTTGGTAATTTCTGTGTAACTCATTTCTGAGTTGTACCAAAGTTACATTTAAGACCAACTCCATCTCTCGTTTTTCTCCAATAGCTGTTATGGAGAAGCGCTACCAGACAACCCAAGGGAATGTAGACAAGTGGATCAGGGGACAGCAGAGGAAGCTGCGAGATCAATTCAAGGGATCAAGAGATCAAGGAAAGTGCTATGGTTGTTAAGAAAGAAGAGTTTTTGGTTCAAGTGATGTTGCTGTTAAGAAAACCTCTTTACATTTCTGATCAAATTTAATTGAAGAGAACTTTTAGATTCTAATTATTTACCAGGAAAGACTGTACTAAAATACAATTTCTACATGTATGCAAAATTGATTCATAATTCTTATAAAATAGAATTGTTAGTATTGGTATAAAAGTACCCATTTAATGAAAGTGCAATGTAATAAATATTTTTCTATTAAAATTTAATAATTTCAGAGGAATTATTGTTGTTCATTTATATTCCTGACTGTATCAAATCTAATGTGAGCTCTACTAGACAATAATAAATTTCTTGCTGAGTCAGCTATTAGTATTCCTAGGGTTTCCTAGGAATTCCTAGGAATTTTAGTCCAATTTAATTCCAGGGTAAAACAATTTCTAAGAATTCCTAGGAATTCCTAGGAATTTTAGTCAAATTTAATCTTCAAGGGTGAAAAAATTCCTAGGAATTCCTGGGAATTCCTAGGAATTTTAGTCCAATTTAATTCCAGGGTAAAACAGTTTCTAAGAATTCCTAGAAATTACTAGGAATTTTAGTCAAATTTATCCTTCAAGGGTGAAAAAATTCTTAGGAATTCCTGTGAATAAAGTCCAATTTATCCAGAATAAAACAATTTCAAGGAATTCCTAGGAATTATGCATCCTCACCAAGCAAGATTAGAAAAGCTTGGAATTCCTAGGAAATCCTAGGAATTCCATGTTCCAATTACCGTGAAAATTCACAGCTTTGTTCCTGGGAATTCCCAACAATGGATTCTTAGGAATTCTTAAGAAAATCCAAAGAATTCCAAGGAATTCCTACCTTTAATTCGCAAGGGATTATTTCACCCGTTTGGGTCGACCTAAATTGCAATCTATTTCGTCTTATGTGATGTTCGACCTTTTGAACTGGGCTTTAATTCGCTAGAAGAAAGAATCCTGTGTTTCTGCTTTTCACCTTTGTTCGCTTGTTTTGTTTTGGTGTTTTAGGCCCGGTTCAGACGCCGAACATTTTATGAGCCGAACTAAATTCGAATTTGGACCGACCCAAATTAAAAAGATACGTCTGCTGATTCAAACGCCGTTCTTTTTGGCCGTTCCCAATTCAGTTCGAGTAAAACCAGTCAAACTGCTTGCAAAATACATTAAAACAATTTATGCGTTAGGATCGGCACATGAAAAAGTACGGCGTTTGAATTAAAGCCGTTCCAAAGGCGTTCTAAAGGCGAAATTCTCGGCCAAGCTAGGCGGGAAGAACGGGTGAGCCGTTCCGAATCGAAATAGCCGTTCCAAATTGATTCAGACGCCCATCTTTTCAGGTGCTTAATTCAAGGCATTAGGTTCGGCTCATGAAAAGATCGGCGTCTGAACTGGGCCTTACATCATAGGTTTACTTTTGAGCGACAGGGATTGCGAAACCGTCTTGTTAATGTATTGCATGACAAGTTTCATGGTAGAAACGTGATTCTAGCTCAGCTGAATTCTTGGTAATGGATACTGTTGAAGAAAAGTGTAAACAAAGACGGCAGTAGAAATTCCATTATATTTTCTGTAAGAAAACTTGTATTATCCTGTAAGAAAGTAACTTGTATTCTGCCCACCCTTCTCTGGGTTCTCGCGCTTTTCATTGTGCGAGATTTCTCTTCGAATTTTCATCTCACATATCAAGTGAACAGAAACTGACAGGCCTGTGGTTTGTTTTAGGGTTAGTTACTGGCCTTATATACAAAATGACTTTGCGATTTTAAGAAGACTTCTGCAAATCAGCTCAAGGATATATGTAACCATATTAGAAATTCAACATGTCCATTTCATCTGTGATTGATTGTAGACCCTGTGATTGACATTGTTCTGATGCTGGGGGATTGAAGTCGACACATAAGCGGCGAATTTTTAAGATCGAAGCTGCCATAATTTTTTCCATCAACAGTGTTCTCAGAAGACTTTAGAGTGAAAGGGTTAAGGAAACCAAATTTTTTTTTATTTTTTTTTATTTTTTTATCAGAGGGCACTGCAATCTGATTGGTTCTTAGAGCGGTCCGTACTTTTCTATCTGTGCCAACGGGTACGGTAACGCTTACGTGAGTCGCCGAGTACATCCTTACCTTGGTTCCCATTTTTCATGATTATTTCGTTTTGCCTAAAAACTCGTTGGTAATTAATACTAATCCTTCACAAAAAGTAACTCCGAAAGTGAAAACGTTTTGTATTTGTTTACAATTAAATTATCGATGTAACTTACATTAATTTAATATCTGAATTCTCTCTAATAATTCGTTCGTGTTAAGAGACTGGGGTGAGCGAAATTTTCAGTTCTGGTACAAATACGGTTACCCTAAGTCTTTCCAATTGTGTTCAGTTTGGATTTCAATGAGAAAAGCCGCATTATATACCCTTGGGTATACTTAAGGTGTCTTATTTGAATTTAATTTTTTGGTGAAAGGAAGACCAGATTTACACACGACTTTGCAGCAAACAAACAAGACATCTTATCTTGTTCAACTTAAAAACATACATTTCAATTTTCTTACCCTTACTTTCCTGGCTATTTACTGATTGAACAGAGTTAAATTTTCGCACTTAAATCGTCGATGGAGGTGAATAATACTGTTCGTAAGATCATTGACTGATTTTGAAGAAAAAAGTGTCGTGACAGTCATAGAACTTGAGTCACCAAACCAGTACCGTTGTTGTTTTCAAGAGTACATCCACTTTTTCCCTATTCGCTCTCTTATTGATAGGTGTCAGATGGTGACAGATACTTGGAAAAAAAAAAAAAGGTTTCTTTGTTCGGACGTCTTTAAAATCATCATTATCATGTCATAAATAAAATTGAGGGCACAATTCTTCTCAATACGGACCGACCTATGCTGGTGAATAACGTATATTTACTGAAGAAGAAAAAAAAAAAAACTCACTTAATAGTGTTAGTGTAAATAATGCGTCGATAAATTCAGAGCTTCAACGTTCAACCCCCGGGGACATTTGACTTTGGATGACATTGAATGATGATGATGAGGAGGAAAAAAAAAGAACTAAGGGAGCTCTCGGAGTCTAATCTTCTTACCTTATCCAACAGCACTGGCATTACAATGTGACGTATGTACCAACCTACCATTTTTTATGTTAGGAGTTCCTGTTTGTCCAATGGAGACTCAAATGTCCATATAGTCTATACAAGTGACCAGTGACCTTCTAAAATTCTTAACAGCGCGCTTTTTATAAAACGTTCATTCTGACATTGTCAGAGGTGGTAGCTTAGAGAGGGTCTTCATAGTGAGAAAACAATTGACTGTTCATTTATAAATCTACAGAAGCTTTGAACATCTGAAGGATGGTGCAAAAAAAGAGACTAAAACTTTAACACTTTACAAGCGCTTAGAAAAGTCTCAGTTTGGCAATGTTTCTATCAAATTATAAGCTTCAGGGTGTCATTACTGGTTCGCAAAGCTAACAAGAAAAGTAATCAATCAAACAACCACTCTGTTTTTTCGTCCTCGAAATCGCTTCCGAGTATTCCGTGTTGACATGATCGACATTAAGATATCACAATTTCTGTCAAATCGACCGCGGTCAAATGAAGCAGTAGCTCGAGGACACTTGGATAACAAGAACATTTGCAAAAGTAAGACGTTTCTTCGTCTTGACACCACGACCGTTCCCGGCACAAAAAAAAAAGAGAAAAGATTCTGAGTTTCCCTGAGAACTTGAACTTCAGACCTTAGGATTTTGCGCTCTGACGCTTTACCACTGAGCCATATGGACCCTTGCCGTACAAAGTCATTATTAGGTTCGTCTAGGACACGCGTTAAGGTTCATACTCCCGATTTTTTTTCTTTACAGTGGAAACAATCAAGTGAGGGAAGCATGATGCGGTTCGTGTTCATCATTTTATGTATCAATTTGCTGCTGGGCTTCACCGAGGGCTCCAAGAGGCCTAGGTGCGACAATGCATACTGGTGGGAGAGCTTAGATAGGGCCAAATGGTCTGTTTGTCCCAAAACCAACACCTACCTCCGAGGATTTTGGAGAAGTGCTTTTCAACGGGGAGACGAAAGAGTTGGACGCCTGGAAGAGGGAAGGTGCTGCGATGCTGTGCTGCCCCTATATGCAGGCCAACCGGCAACGTGTTCAAATACAGACTGGTCAGACAGGTTGAATCGGTGAGTTGTTCTCTCAGTTCCAGTCTTCTATGCGTAAATTCTTAAGGATGTCACGTGGCGTTGTGTCACATCGTAAAGAACGACCAGGTGGGAGATAACAATCCCTTTCTGAATGAAGCGTGGTGTAAAGCTAAAAGATACAATTGAATTCAATAACTACGTACGCATCATTTTTATTACCATATTCTGAGACTATTTACCGCTGGTCAGAATGGTTACACATGGCCCATCCGTCAAAATTTACAAGTAAATATAATGTTTCTAAATGTGATCGCCAAATTTAAAAAAAGCTACTAAATTGTTATTTTGTTGATAAAAGAGAAAGAAAACCCCTTAGTAGCTCACCTCCTCTCCACTTTTCTATCTCTTGTACCTCTAAACTACTGAAACATGTTTTTACGTTTTTCAGGCGATGGAGTATATAATTTTTCAGCGTTAAGAAATGAATGTTCTGACCATGTCGAAAAACCTTAGATTATCTTAGAGAAGCAGTCATTGATAAGTCAACTGGTTGAGTCTCCTATCAGCGAAGACGTTTTCATTAACATTTATGCCGATAACTATTCAGACCCAGTTGATCAAAATTATTTTACTCTTCTTAGGTATAACGTCTGGGCCCTTTGTCCTTCCGGTTATTTCATGAATGGCCTCAGACTTGATCGTTCTCTTCCCGCGTTTTTGAACAACATAGCCGAGGCAAAATGTTGCCGTCCACAGAACCATCCCAGCAGTTCTGACGACTGTTACGATGAAGATGTTACCATTTCATTTGACAAAAAAGGGTGGAGTGAATGCCAGAGGGACGGTTTTTACATGACCGGTTTCTACAAGAGTGACTGTAATAACCTCTATTGTATTGAGAAGTTCAGATGTTGCAAGATGATCAATGGTAACATCAGTCTTCTTGTCTAGTTAGGTAGATGGATAGAGATAGTGGATAGAGCGCTGGACTGTTGTGCGGGAGGTCGAGGGTTCGAGCCCCGGCCGGACCAACAATCAGGGTCTTAAAATAATTGAGAAGAATTTGCTGCCTTTCTATAACATCAAGAAAAGGTTAGATATTCTAGTCTTCTCGGATAGGGACGAATAAATGGAGGTCCCGTATCCTGCAGGGTTGGGGTAGGAAACGTTAATTTCCAACACACGAGATTACTGTGTGATGGATGTCCTCCCCTGGAGTGGGTTGTACAACGGATTGCTTCCAGGGAGACAATTGCAACGGGATTCCATCTGAAAGTGAAGTCGCTGGTCTGTCTGTCTGGCTTGCAAGCTTCACCGCCATTTTGATGGCCCTTTACAAAAGTTTCTCAACTGATTTGCAAATTGAAAGTAGTTTAATGCGCATTTTCTTTTCCAATTTATTAACTGCTGTTAAAAGTAATCTTTGAAAAATAAACTTGGGTTACAGTTTTGAGAAGAATTTTGACTACCGAACATACAAAGTGCAAATGTACATACCATAATTACCATCTGCAACCTTCCAATGAAGATAAACTATGACACAGGGCGCTGA